TTACATTTGAAAATTAGTAAGAAACCTGCTTTTTTTCTCAGGTGGGTCTCAGATTAGAGCTCATATCAAATTAGTAATCTGTGTTTATAACAACTCTAAAGAAAATAAATATGTAAACCAATATAATGACTACCTGGAGTCATTGGGACTTGAGTTTGAATCTCTGCATTACAAGGTAGAAGCTGTGTGACTTTGGGTAAGATGCCTAATCACTCTGAGCCTCAATATCTCGCCTGTAAAAGGGAATATTAATAGTGTCTAGACAGAGGAGAGTTTGAGGGTAAAGGAAATAGCATTCAGCAAGTAAGGATTTAGTAAATAGTTACTAATGCTGCTGTTATTGCTGTTATTAACTGGGAAGTAGCAAAATCATGCAGCCCCACTGGAAGGAAGAATTTAAGAGAATTTAAATAAATAATAACTGGAAGTTTCCAAATAGCAAACTCATGGCATATATAATTGTATTCCAAGCAGATGATAGCTTTTATCAAAATCATATCTGTATATTTGCAGTTATTATTATTACCACAAGGTGAGAGTAATAAGGATAATAAAATTCAGAGGCTTCAAAATTATTACAAATAGACCTATACTCACAAATGATAAGGCTGGGTCTGAACTCACAGGACAAAGGTTTGGAACGCTATGTAGAGCAATATCCTATTTTTTATTTATATGCTAAAACCTTGTTTTATTGTGCACACAGACCTTTCTTCCAACATTTTCAGAAGCCATCACAAAACTCACTTAGGATATTGAGTTTCTTGGATCCTCTCCAATCTTTTCTTCCTGCATTTAAGCCTTATATGAGCAGAGGATTTAGAATGAATTAGAGAGAAGACTTTCTTCCCCTTGACTTTTAAGAGGACATGTTCTGGAAATCTCTGGAGAATTTAACAGATGTTGCGGAGTGAAGTCTGGGGTATATACTTTTGGTTCCCAAAATATTTCAGAGAACACAGCCTTCATAGAGCCATGTTTGTAAGGTAGATGAAATCACTCAAACCTGCAGCAGGTTTGCTTCTTGAGTATTTGCTTTGTCTTAAAATAACTGGCAAAATCTCTTGATCCTGTGAACATGCAAATCCTATGCCTGAATAAGAGAGATGCTTTTGCTCTTGTGGTTTGGGAAGACTTCCGTTGCTGGTTGTTTTCACAGTGTGTGAAATACTAAATTCTGAAGGTCAGGGGTATAAGTCATGACACATTATGGGTAAGCTCATCAGCTCCTTACGGCATAGTGAGTTCAGGAGAGCGTGATGCAGGCAGTGCAGTAAGCGACGGTCATGATGTTCTGAGGCAGAACATTTGGGTTTCCCTACAGGTGGAATCAGTATGAAGTGAGTCATCAGTCATCACATTTCCTGGAAGAATCAGAAGAGAAAAAGATTAGAGTGAAATAGAAAATAGTGTTGTAAGTTACTTTTGTCACTCATATGAGAGGATGATGTTTTCCATCAAGCTTGAAAAAACTGAGTGTAACCTGATTCTTATGCTATGCACTCATTAGAAATTAATAGAATCTAAGACTTTCCCAGTCCAATTTAGTATTATTTAAACTAGAAATGCATAAATATGCCATGTGCACATTCATAATAGATGCTCTTTCCTATGTATTGAGGTTGGGGGTGAGGGTGGTGATGGTACAGGCATTGGAAAAAGCTGCTACATAGCACAAAGAAAGGGGGGAAAAAGGTGGACACATGGAAACTATGTGTAGGATGGATAGCTAGGCCAGAAGGAAAGTAGAAATCTCTGTACCCTAGAAAACTGGCTCTTGTCTATGCCAGGTATTTGCTAATGTTGTCAAGCCATCTGCAAGTTCCAACCCTCAGTGAATATGCTGGACATATTCTTCTGTTTGAATACAAATTCTACTTTTTCAAAAGCTAAAGAGTTCTTTAAACCAAATGTTGATTGGAAGTCTTGACACTTCAAGGAAGACAGATATGCCAGTGACCAAGAAAAAAAAAAAAAAAACCCATGCAAAATAATGCTAGATTTTTAGCTAGTACTCATCATTTCAGACCAAATGTTTGACCTTCAGGACAAACAGGATAAAAAGGAGTCAATGCATTTGGGGCTTGGAATTCAGGGCCTTTATCATTTCCAGCAAGAATTTCCAAGCAGCTTTTGAGTCACTCCTTAGCAGGAGACTGACGCCTTCCCTCAGTTCCCTTGGCATGACAGAGGACATGGATGAAGCCTTCCAATGTGAAGATTTCCATGGTTCCACTAACATTTCTAATTGAACATGATCCCAGTTACATGCCGTTCTCTGCTTCCATGGCCTGGGAATTCCACTGGCCTGAGGAGCATTAGGATAAGGGGTGGGGCTATTGGAGAGTTCCTTTGCCTTGTCTATAAGTAGGACGTTTCAACTCTTTGGTCCCTTCTTCACCCTCTTCCTCTTCCCGCCATGTCATTTTCAAGCACATATAGGACATCTGAAGGTTTCTCTCTGGCCCTTGACCTTAGTCATTTCAGGAGGATGTAAAAGTCCCCTTGGGAGCGAAGCCCTGTAAGAACAGGATAAAATTGGAAGGCTCTTCCCCCTTTTCCTGCCCCTCCCAATTACCCTCTCACACTCTCTCCCCCTCTCCGTTCTCCACCCACACAGGGCACTTGGGGGGGGGGGAGGGGGGCCCTCAGGTTCCCTAGTCCAGGCCCCATCCCTCTCAGTAAGCCAGGTTGGTGCCTGCCTTTGTACTGGAGTAAGTACAGCCCTGTCCCACAACAGGGATGCTTCTGGGCCTCTGCAGCCTGGCTGAGAAGCAAATTCCCATCTTCAGGGGTTCTTGGCGGTAGTTTTAGTCATTGAGACTTCAATTGCCCCGCAGTTCCCTCCACTGAAAAGAAAGCAAGAATGGCCTGAATGTTTGGTCAGGCAGGGGTGCAGCCCCAGACTCCTGCAGTTCCTCCAGCCTCTAGTTCCCTCCCTCAGCCTTCCCAACTTCCCCTGGCCCAGGCCAGAACTTTCCAGAACTGGAAAGCTTCCTTTCCCCCACTGGCACCAAACTCACCTAATCACCTCATCAGAGACATACATGGCAGGGAAGATAGGAAAGATCAGCAGCACAATCCTGTCCCACAAGCAAGCTGTGGTAGGGGGCTGTACGGGACTCTAGGTTGGGCTGAGAAATGAGTGGTCTCCAAAGCTAGATTTTTTTCTGGAGCTCAGTAACCAAAAATCTCAAATTAAATCCTCTACTTAGTCTCTCCCTTCATCAGGCCCCGAGTGCCTCTGAAAGTGCTTCACCGAGGAGAGGGGAAGTGGCACGGCCTTTGCAAGCCAGAGGTGCCTTCAGCCTTGCAGGCGGGTGGAGCCAGCAGTTCCCCCGTCTGTCTTCCCCAATTTTCAAGTTAATGGTTTTGTGGTTTCCCCCCTTTAATAAGCCATGAAGTCAACAAACTCCCCACATGGTGGCTCCCTTTACTAAAGCTGACTAGTGAATTTGTACAGGGAGTCTTGGAAATTTTCAAGTATTTCTACAGATTGAACTCATTTCAGAATTCGCGTGGGAGGAAAGAATAAGGGTTTTAATGGAGCTCATCTTTGACGTGAAGCAAGGCGGAAGACACGAAAAGCCAGAGTCCGTTATAGCTTTGGGCGCTTCTGTGAGAAAGATATCTGCCTGGTTATCAACGGTGCTCACCTTTCACTCTGTGTGCGAGCTTACTCAAGAGGCAGAGCCGAACACGGAAGACACGCGTGCTAACACTCCAGTAACGGAGACAAAGAGATTCATCTCCATGTAGATGTGGTCTGAAGCTTAATTGCAGGCAAGCAATCTGGGACGTCCCCAGGAATAAACAAACAGGAAGTGGCAGTTTCTAATCAATAATGGAGAGGAATAAGCAAAACTTTGTCTTCTTGGAGGAAGAATTAAAACCTCAAATAAGAGAGCAATTAAGGCATTGAAACGAAGCATTATAATTTTGTCTTAGAAAAGGCATACAGCACTAACATAGCTTATTTAAAGGTTAGATCCAAATCATAGTATCAAGAAACACTCTCACTAAATTGCCATTTCCTCAAATTTTTGAGATCCAAATAATTAACTTGTACACACTAATGGTTATTAATGACTCTATTTCCTTTGCGAAAGAAATAGACCTTTCACTGGAATAGAAATTTACAAATCTTCTTAAGTTACCCAGGGACTTGGAAGTCTCCTGGTGTTGTGGTCTTCCCTTATTGCTTTCCTCTCTCTTCCCACTCATTTCATGAGTCATTTCATTTTCAGTTAATTTTCCCTTTCTTTCTTTCTTTCTTTTTTTTTTTTCTTTTTTTTTTTTTTTTTTTTTTTTTTTTTTTTTTTTTACCAGCCCCAACAGAGGGATTCCTGATAGAAACCCTCAGTAGGTGAACTTGTACTGGGAATCCTTGTACTTTCCCAGTTTACAACTCATGTTGTAAATAAAGGGGGAAAACATTTCTCACTCCAAAATCCTTAAAATTCGAATTTTTGTGGAAAGCACAATCCTCACTTTCAATTCTACAAATCAGTAAGAGCTACAGAAAGTGTGAAAGTGTCCAAATGGGTCATCTGTAGAGCTCTAAATCCAGTACTAACAGGAGACATAGAATGCTCTTTACTGAAATCTAGAATGCTCGGACCATTCTGAGCTTTAAGGGCATTTATAGACACTGCAAGGGGAGGCAGTATCTGAGGAGTGGGGTACTTGGGCAATGGACTGCCACATTAATAGCACCACTGCCGAATTCTCAGATTTAGAGGCAGTGGTGAAAGATGGAATCAGGGCAATTGTCAATGTTTATAGCATCTGTGACCAAACAGGTTCAGTACTCAGAGCCATGCTCTGGATGCGGCTTTACTCTAATTAATCCACTCATAGCCAGACTGCCAACGCCAGCCAGACTCATTAGCAATTTACTGAGAACCCCGCAAGACTTCCCTTTAAAAACAAAACGACTTCCACATGTAATTGTCTATCTGAAAGAACAGACGCAAGATATTAGGAGATTAAATTAAATTTATTAATAGGAGAGCTTGATGGTGCTTAATTCCAGAGACCAGAGCTCTGATTGCTGGGGGCTTGATGAAAAGTAGAGAGAAATAGTAGGAATGTAGTCGTTAAAAACATCACTTTCACCATGCCCGAAATCCTATGAATTAATTCTTCACCCATCTTTGAGGACAGGGTAAAACTGGAAAAAACCATCAAAATCATTGGACGTCTTAAAAAAATTGGATTGTGTGAGTGAAAGGTGTTTATGGGAAGTGGATGACTCCAGAGCTCATCATCCATGAGGACAGCACAGAATAGTTAATATGTTCCTTGAGGGACTAGGATGCTGACGTCTTTTTCTGATACCCGGTCATTGCGTGACTGAGGGAGGAGGGGGGGAAAAAAAAGAGGAAGTCATTTCATGAGCGCAACAGTGCAACCAAATATTCTGTACTTGAGGGCCACGGGCAGGCAGATGTTGACAGAGAAGTCTCTCCTAAAACCATCTTCAGATAGATAGGTTTCTGCCGCTGCTATATAAACAGGAGCAGAGGGCCGGTCACCTCTGCAACCACCGGCGGTAGCAGCAGCAGCAGAAGCAGCCGCAGCCGGAGGGACCTCGGAGCGGAGGAGGCACTGCTTCTACCCAAGAAGCTGCCTGACCCGGCGGCTCCCTGGGACTACGGACGCCGGCTTCGCCTTCACCCCCTTTTCTTTTTTCCTTCCTCTTCTTCTTTGATTTCCCCCCTCCTTTCCTTCATCCCTGACTCCTTTCTCCCGGTGGACTCAGGTCACTTGGTCCTCCACCCCCTCCTTCGCTGGTCGCCTCCTCTTTCCCTCCTTCTGCCTCCCTCTCTTCGCCCCATTCATTCATTCCTTTGGCGGCTGTCACGCTCCCTCCTAGTTCTGTGCGGCTCCAAACTTTTGCACAGAAGCCTGGCCGCACGCAGCAAACAAGTCCTCCAGCTCCTCCTGCTGCTCCCGCTCGTCCCCCAGACGCCGACACCGGACGGCGATGCCCCTGGGGCTGTGACTCCAGCGCAGAAACTTGGAGGATCGCTCGGCTAAACCGTCCTACTTGGCAGCAAACCCTTCCTGGCGGCGGTAAGAACTGAATGGCAACGGAGGGAGGGGGAGGGAGTCTTTCCAACCCAAACGGCACACGGGACTGCTGCCTCTTTTATTTATTTATTTATTTTTTTTTTTTGCCGGCATGAGGGTACTAGTTCCTTTTCCTCCGCGCCGGGTCTGGCATAGATTTACCTGTAGAGAGAAGGAAGTGGCGGCAGGGCGAGCTCGGGCTGTCACTGAGGGGTCTTCAAACCCGGAGCCTTTCGCTCCGGACCCCCCAGCTCCGGGAGCTCTTGGGGCGGGAGGGGAGGGGAGCGGGGCGGGGGGCATTCTGACCGCGGCGCCCTCTCCCCCGTCCCGCACAGAACGGCCATGGGTGGCGGAACCAGGCTGGCCCTGCTGGTCTACGGGATCATCATGCACAGCAGCGTGTCCTGCTCCCCGGACGCCACCGGACTCCCGTTCCCCGGGATCAGGTAGGCGCTGGCCGCCCGGACGAACCGAGGCACGGCTTCTCTTCCCTCAACACCTCCTCGCAAGTCCTCCCGCATTTCCTTGGTCCCGGCCCCGGTCCCTTGCTCACGACCATCTCCCCCCTGAGCTCCGGGGAGCCTCCGGCAGGGCGCCCCTCCCCCAGCGCCGGGCAGCCGAGCGGCCCGGGGGACCGAGCGCTGCCTCCGCCCGGAGAGACCTACCCACCCCCGCCCCGCCCCGCCCGCGGGAGGGGGCAGGGCATGGCCTGGAGCCGGACGCCCCCTCTCCCCCCTCCGCTGGAGTGGGGCGAACCCCGGCTCCCCGAGCCGGGCTGCAAGGTGGAGCGTGGAGGGAGCGCCGGGATGTGGCTTTGTTACGGCCGGTGCCGCGCTGTCGCGGAGGGGTCCCTCTCGCCTATTGCCGATTCTTTCTTTCTTTCTTTCTCCTGGAAGAGCTTTCTTCCAAGGGATTTTTTTTTTTTCTTCCCCGACTGCCTTTCGCGCCTCAGACTGTCTTGAGGAAGGGGAGTGTCGGCTGGGTGAGGTTGAGGAAAAGCGATAGAACAAGAATGGAAGAACGGGAATGAGCCCGAGAGGGAGGGGAGAAACAGGTGCAACGGATGCAGGGAGCGGGGAGAGAAAGCGAGCAGGCAGGCGGTGTCTGCACAGCCCTGCCCGCCTGGCTCCCCCCTACCCCCATTCCCCCCTTCATCAATCGGGTTCCCCCTCTCAGCCCTGGAACGCCCCGCGGGCCACCGGGGAGTGGAAGCTCGCGAGTTCCGCCGGCAAAGCTGGTTCCCCGAGCCGCGCCCCGGGGCGCCGGGGCCGCCGACCGGCGGTTTGGCCCGGGAGCTGGGTCTCTGCCTCCAGCGTCTGGGTCCAGAGGAGGGTGAAGGTGGCCAGCGGGTCCGGGCTGAGGACGGCTGGGCGCCAGGCCGGCAGGCAAAGGGGTGTGTATGCTGGCCTCGCCCTCACCCCTCCAGGGATGGAGGGAACGGGTGCGGGGTTACGAAGCGTGACTTCCACCCCTCCCAGGAGCCAGACTACTCCGGGGCCGATTCCCGAGTCTCTCTAGCGGCCCGAAGTGAGGAGTGTGTGTGTTTGAAACCCCCTCCCCGCCGCCCCGTCCTGTACCATCGATCTGGGGGCCGCAGGCGGGGGTTTTCGCCGAGGCAGCCGCGCCCCGAACGGCGCTCGGTCGGTCCGCTGCTGCCCATTTTCCCATCCCCAAAGGCTGCGAGGCGGTCCCGTCGCCTCGCCATCGTAACAGATGAGCGAGAACATTCCCCCCCGTAGACTTAAAAAGCCCTATTTCACACCCTCCTCCCCCAGCTATTTTCAAAGGCCCTTTCCCCGGCGAGAGGCCACGGGGGAGGGCACGAAGGAGCCGCCGCCAAACCAAGTTTAGCGGCACCGAGCCCGCGTGTTCCTGCCGGTGCCTCTCCGGCCCAGAATAGCAGGCGAGGTTCTCCGTGACCTACATCGGGGCGGAGAGGCCGGGCGGGGCGCTGGCGGAGTCGGGGCCGCTGCGCACCCCCGCACCCCTCTGTCTTGCTCCGGCCTCCTGGGCTGGGGCGCCGAGCTGGCCGGCGCCTGGTCTCCCGGGATCCTCCCCGCACTCGCCCTTCGCTGCGGGTCCGCAGGCCCAGGCCCCGGGCGGAGGGCGGGCCGCGGGGCGTCCTTCCCCCAGACCAGGTGCGCGGCCCGCGGACACGCACCCGCCTCCCCGGGCATCGGCGGCTGCGGCCCCGCGGGGCGCCCCTTCACCCGCACCAGGAGGATGGGGAGCCTCCTCGCGGGGCGGGGCCTTCACTTGGATGTAGTTTTCCGCCTCCTGCCTCTCCCTCGGCCCCTGTCCGGGAAGAAGAGGCAGTTCTCCGTGGGAGACCTTTTGGGAGGAAGTAAAGTCAGAGAGAGCCCCCCCCCTTTTTTTTGGGGGGGATGTTCCCGCAGAGCCTAAGGAGGCACCGGTCCTGAGCCCTCCTTCTTCCCCTGGCTGTCCCCGCAGGTCGGAGGAGGAGGCATACGACGAGGACGGAAACCAGCTGCAAAACTTCTACGACTGGGAGCCGCCCCGCGTGGAGAGACCCGCCTCCGGGCCCCGCGAGGCCCACGCGCCCAGCCCCCCGGGGGAGATGAGGTACCGACCGCGGCCTCCGCACCCGGGGCAGGGGCTGTGGGAGGGGCAGGTGCGGGTAGGTTCTTTTTCACCAAAGTCCTCAAGGCTACCTCCTCCCGGGTTCTTAACGACTGCGACAGAAAGTGAGTCGCGGAAAGTCTGTGGTCAAGGGGTGGCAGTGAATGCGCGAGGGGCCCAGACTCCACACCGGCCACCTGGGAGGGCAGGAGGAACTCCCGTTCCTGGGGCGTCCCACGAGAGTTATTGGGGAGTTCTGGGCCCCTGAGGGTTCCCCGGCAGCTTCCAGGAGCGCCAACTGGAGAGGATGCCATGCAGGGGGCGGGGGCGGATCGGGGAGCGGGGTAGCTCCTGGGGGACAGAGGCGATGACCCCGGGCGCGCACGTTGCCTCCCCTTTAGGGACTTCGCCCACGCAATCCTGCACAAGGCCTACCGCAAAGTGCTGGACCAGCTGTCCCGCAAGAAACTGCTGCAGAAGCTCGTGGCCCAGGGCGTGGGGTGAGTGTCGGCGAAAGAGTTAACGGGCGCGAGGGGGCGCGCGCGCGCCGAGGTGGGCGGGGCCGGGCGCGCGGGCGCGGGGTGGGCGGGGCCTGCGTCCTGCGTGCACGTGGGGCCGAGGGTGGGCCTGAGTCGCGGGGTCTGCGGGGACGGCGGGGGGCCAGCCCCGAGCCATCTGCCAAGATTACTGGGGCGGTTCCTGAAGGTTGGCGGGAGAGCTGGGGAACCCAGCAGAGAAAAGCAGAGGGCAGAAGAACCGGGGAGTTGGATCCGTTTTGAATTAAAAAAAAAAAAAAAAAAGAGAGAGAGAGAGAGAAACCAAATAGTCTCCCCCTCAGTCATTCAACACCTTCAAGCTTCACGGGATGATTTGCTATAATTTCCTCTAAGTTTGACTTAAAAGATTATTTTGTTGTAAATTCAAATGGAAGCCAGCAAACCCTCCCTCCACTCTGGACACCCAGGGAACCCGCTTTTGCTTGCGCCAGACCTACCCAGGGTGCGGGGAGCCCCTCTCAGCAGAAGGCAGCGTTTTAATAAAGCCCGTGGGAGAACAGATTACATTTTTCGTAATAAATAATTCATGGGATGAAAAATATTGCGCACAGCCTGTCGACTTGTATTATTATCACGTTTTTTTTGCAACGTAGCGTGCGGAAGGGGAGTGCTTGTGTCTTACCAGGTAGCAATAACGGGATTGATGCAAAACTCCGCTCTTTTGTTATTTCCTATTAGGACAATTCAGCGCAATCGCATGGACGGGATGGTCATATCGCACGGACAGAGGTTAGGCTTGAATTGTGTGCATTTGGCCGGGCCCTCAGAAGGGGCCCCTTTCCTAAGCGAGTGGTGCCAGGAAGTCCTGGGCGGGGAGGGAAAATGCAGGTTTCTGTGGCAGCTCCCCTCTGGCTCCTCCTGGCAGAGGAAGGCCTGGCAGAGGGTAGTAAGACCCCCGTGCCCGTCTGCAGGCTCCCTCGTGGGGTGGGGCCCGCCTGCTCCTGGCAGCTATTGAACCTGTGTCTTCCGCTCCGCCTGCCAACCTTTCCCGACCCCTCTCCTTGCAGTGGCATTCGAAGCGGCAACGCCAAAGACGATTCGGATCCGCTCTCCAAGCGCCACTCAGACGGAATCTTCACGGACAGCTACAGCCGCTATAGGAAACAAATGGCTGTCAAGAAATACTTGGCCGCCGTCCTAGGGAAAAGGTATAAACAAAGAGTTAAAAACAAAGGACGCCGAATAACGTATTTGTAGCAGCGATGAGTTTACCGGCTACCTTGTGTATACAACCCTGACACAATGAAAAGTCATTTTCCTTACAAACTGGAACAGTCATCGCTCATGTGTTCTATCCAAACATGTATTTATGTATGAAGTAAAGCCATTAAATGAATATTTTGATAATAATATTGTTTTTTCTTTTTACAAAGCACTAGAGAATGCACAGATATACTTTGTGGACCAATTATTGATATATATATTATAAATATATATATTTAAGAATATATATATATATATAATAGAGAGCAGTTCATAAAAATGTGCACCAGGATTGAAAAATTCACCTGAGCTGTTTATGTATTTATATATAAAATAGATAGAAAAATAGACAATCATTGTTTTAAATATTACTCCTATTTTTGTAAACTGGAATTAAAAGGATAGTATTTTTATCCACCACAGGCCTGAAGATGTTAATACTGACCATTTGCTACTGTATATAAACAAAGACTCCCTGCTTCAGGGAGATTTTGAGGTCAAGATTTGGGAGAATTGCTGTAGGGCATTCTCTCCCAGCGAGTCTCTGGGGCAGGCTGCTACAATCCCAGCCCAACTCAACTGGGCACTGTCTCCCTCGCTGGGTGACAATTCTAATACTTCTGCTTTCTTTGATTCTCCTTTTATGTGTATTCGTCTCTCCTTAGACTCTCAGCCCACAAGAAAATTCTCCCGATAAAAAACAACAGCTCTATCTAAATTGTGCTTCTCCCCAGAATTGACACCATTTCCTGGGGGCAAGAGTTGGGAGATTATACAGAGAAGGGAGACTTGAGTAGAAGCTCCCTTTTCTGTACTTCCAGGAAACCCACTATCCCAAGGTTAGGGCAATTGGAACCAAGTGGAAGAAAGGCAGGTATACTGGAAGAGGCAGAGCCTAAGGCAGCAGGAGGAGGACCCCGGAGAGGGACTCTTTTGGGGCTGCCCCAGATCTGGGACGCTGGGGTTAAGCCGAGTCCCCACCTGAGGTCCCCAGCCTGACTGACTGGGTGCTGGGTGTTTGAAACGGGTGCAAAGTACAATGTGTTTTTCTCCAGTGCTGTCCATGCTTCTCATCTTGTGAAATGGCCAGGATTCTCCCTTGTGAACGCTGCTCCATAGGAGCCACCCTTTTCTTTGGTGTTTCTGGTTATTTTTTGTTTTGTTTTGTTTTGTTGTTTTGTTTGTTTTTTTTCCTGAAGACTCTGCCTTCCTACCCTCTTGCACTGTTTAAATACTGGTTACCATTTTCATTCACTTCTCTTAAACTTGTGAATGTGTCTTATTTTTGTCGTTGATTGATGCAAGTGCTTATTGTAAAGTTTAGGAAACCCTGTGTAGTTATCGCTAAGTAATTATGCACTAAATATGAACCTTTTGTTTCTTGTTTCTTGTGTTTGTAGGTAAAATGTATTTTTCTACATCATGGCTTATTGCTTAGTAAAAGTTATTTCATAAACCAACCTTTGTCATATTAGAATGTGTAGTGTTCACATGTTGCTCAGTTTTACTAACTGATAAATCCTTTAAACCTCATCTTATGTATGAGTATTATCTTGTATTTGTGATCAAGAGTAAGGTAAACAAGCTCCAACAGACCCTGAGAACTTCCCTGTGTATCCTTTCTTGGCGACAGAAAGCATGTCTGTCTGATTCCTCTCAAATTCTTGAACATACCAAGTAATCTCTAATAACAAAAGAACCTTCACCCAACAACCAGATCAAGCAACAGCACGCAAAACAAACTCCCAGTTTTCAGGCACAGATTCTGTTGAAAAGGAAGAAAGAAGAAGAAGAAGAACAAGAAAAGATTAAACATTAGCCTGTAAAATTTAAAGGACCTTTCCTTTTTCCTTTACGGATTCGATCGGTATGAAGTCATAAATCAAAGAAAACAGAATTGAATTTGCATTCCCAGGCGGGATGGATGCTGCCAGGAGATCACATTGCAGACAGTGAAAGCACAGAGGCATTCGATCTATGCCTGAGCCCTGTGTATGGGATCAATCTTTCTTTAATTCTGCAGTCTCCTCAGGCAATGTGACCTGGGACGCAGTTTGCAGCTGTAGTGCCTTTCTTTGCCTTTTAAATCGCCACGAATCACAGATGGCTATTTAGTGGCCCTACAATGCTGCAACACATCGGCTTGCATTTTAGTCTTATTTGTTTCTTGGATAATGGGCAGAATTTTCTGTATTTGTGTCAGCTGTTAGTGGTGAAATAGGGCTCTAGTTAACCTTTTTATTTATGAAGTCTAATTTAGTGTTTCTGTGGCGAGTTGCAAGCATTTACAGTGATCATCCAGTTTAATCTTTTGTATACTTTTTAGAAATGCCAAGAGCCTTACTAACCTAACGCAGATTTATGATATAGTGAAAATTTAGGTAGATGTTAGTCTTGAAGCTTTTATTTTGTGTGCAAATGATTATAAAAACATCTTAACCAAGTATTACACACATGCTATCTATAATTAGGTCTTTGATAACTGTTATATGAAGTGTGTGAAATTTGTATGAATAAATTTTTGTAAACAATGCAACTTCGTCTAATGTTTGGAGAAAAAAGACATCAGGAAATAACTACTTTTAAAAATCTCTTAAAGTATTATATTTTCTTTACCAGCCATAAGAATTTTAATGTCTGGGATATATACTTACTTAACCATCAATGTTCTTTAATATCTGCTTGATGGGTTATGGATTCAACTAAAAATATGAAGTAGCTACTCAGAGAAAATGCCCGAGGAGATATTAAGCTTATAAATGGGCACTGATGTTGGGACATTTATAGGATGTACAATTTAGATCGATTTCTATCCCCTAATGTTTACATACATTGTTCAGTATTTAAGAAAGTTACTATCCAGTGGTGGGAGAGAGTACCTGCGTAATAATTACGCTTCTAAAATATCAGTCTAACATTATTTTCTTGCAAGTCACTCTGCAGACTAAATTGGACTTTGTAAAGTTCTGGATAAAGATGATTTAAATAATTAATTTTGAAGGTTTTAACATATGTTTAGGGACCTATAGACAACTATCTCTGATTAAAATGCTTTGGATAGAAGAAAAAAAACAACCCATAAGTAAGCAAAGAGTTAGTTAAATATCTTTAAGAGAAAATGTAGTTTGAAGCCTAGGACACGATATGAAAAGTTATTTGTGAATTATTTGTTTTATTTATTTATATTAGCAGACTTTAAAACAAAGCCTTCATATGAAATTTTTATAAATTTCTCAGAGGTGTTTATTTTTGAAGCCTTTGATGATATCTGGGTTAAACATTTTTGTATTGAAAGTCACTTATAATTAGTCATGTTATTTAAGTTGGCAGATTTTTATTTTAAATTAATGCAGTAAATTAATAAGTCAGTAAATATGTCACAATTATACTAAAGGACCAGCAAAAATCAAAAGATCAGCAAGAATTAAAACACTATCTACAGAACTGACTTCCTCTCCATGGAGACATATTGTATATAATGTCCTAGTGTGGTAAATGGAAAAAAAAATTAAGAAAGATAATTGTTTTGATTGGGGCTAATGACTTGTCCAGAAAGTAGAGAAAAGTCCCAGAATTGTCTGACTTCAAGTCAAGTGTATTTGTATAGCAACTGGCTATTTTGTTACGTAGGATAACTAAAAAAAATTGTTTTTCATGGGAAGGCTTGATATATTTAGGTATCCGAAAAGTTATAAATGGGCTTTAAGGCTGTAAAGGCTGAGAACACATTCAATAAAATACAATTTATGGGACACCTAAAAGAGGCGAGGCATGCTGGTTGAGAGAGCCTAACAGCTGGGAGTTAACTTTTCCAAAGAATAATTTTTTTACAACATGATCACTTGGGGGACTTGTTAATAATGCAGATTTTAGGGCGCTAACAGAAACAGCGAATATGTATTATAACAAAAAATTCTAGATTAATAGGCACTAAAGTTTGAGATCACATAGATTTAGAATTTGGTGACACGTAGGCATCTATGTGTGCTGGGACTGAGTGTTTTTCCCCACATTAAGTAGGTAACAGGTCATGCTGTCTGCACAAAGTAATAAATGCATCAATGAGCCATATTCTCCTGGGATGGACATTAGGTTCTTCGAGAATTGCAATATTTTCCTTTAGGCCACTAAGGCCACAGTTTGCATTATTTTACTTACATGTTTTGGTTGGATCTGTCTGTTAAAGAGGAAGGAGAGTGATCCTATAAATAATGTCAAGGAAATTCAATCACATGACTGAGAGATTATTGAAATATTAGAGAGAAACTGTGCAGCTAGCTAGCAGTAATTCTTCAGATCCAGAAGTCTACTTGCAATTGCATTTTGTCTAAATTTGGCTTGAGTGCACCCCCTTCTCAACTATTTATAAGTTGATTTCACTTGGTGCCCCACTGTGACCTTAAACTCAGCCCTACTGTTCACACCATTACAAGACTGGAAACCAAGATCAAATCTGAACTCGTCTGTTTCATTGTAACCCTTTGAAGAAAGGAGATGCTCATTGCTCTTGCTGCTGCCCATGGTCTCCCTGGCTTCCTACACTGGTCAGCCTGCCCTTGGTTCTCCCTTCAGTTGGCAGTTTTAATTCCTTCTTACCATATTCCTCTCGTGCGATGTTCCAGGGAAGCCTCTACTGTTACAGGGAGCAAAGTTCTTCATACGCTGGACCCACTGTGTAGCCAGTCTCACCTCCTACTATTCCCCAACCTGGGTCCTCCTTCCTCAGCAGGAGGGGTTCTTATCAATCTTTGAAACGTAAAGGCTTCTTTTCATCTTTGGTGGGTCAACAATTCTTGCACACCCAGAATGTCCTTTTTCTACCTATCAACCTACACATTTTGTAAGGTCCAACTCAAGCCCTCCTTTTCTAGGGATTCTCCTCAGCCTCCCGCAATGACCACATCTTCATTCCCCATCACCATCCTTCTTGCCCTCTTTTCCTGTGACCTTTACTCTCCGTAGCACTTCTTGTGATTTTTAATTGCACACTGCTCTGCCTTGTTCCTTAACTATTTTGAAAGACGATGGCTCATCTCCCCAGTCAGATGACCTCCTGACGGGCATAGATGATACAACACACTTCTGAGAACATAATAAATATCTCTTTTGGGTGATGGAAATAATGAGAGGACTTGGGGAATTCACTATGACATTTCTCCCTTATTCTAATAGGACAACTATAAAACATATATAGGGAGTGAATTTAATTTGGGTATTCATCATGTATCAAACTAGATCTCCCCCCCACCCCCCACTCCCCCAAGCCTCATAGAAAACAATGCCAAATTAATTAGGTGTGTTTCTGCCGTAAGAAAAAAATGAACTTTAAATTCACATAGAGGCAAAAAGCTGCAACAGACTCAAGCCACTAGGCCTTTATTTTTTCACTGGAGGCTTGATGCATGAAATTCGTGCATGGTGAGGTCCCTAGACCTGGCTGGCAATAGAAGTGCAAATATCTGGAGTGGAAGGGGAGGTCCCAGCTGACCTCTGGGCCCTGGGCAGCACCTAAGCCTCCGGGTCCCCACACCTGAGTCATGGTGCTTGAGTCATGGTGCCTGAGTCCCCATGCGGAGATGCAGTGAGCGTGGCTGGATGCCTGGGGCTGGGTCTCAGCGTGGGTCTCTGGGCAGCCAAGCAGCACTGCATGGAAGCCAGGTGGGCAGCATGCTCTCTCCTGGCCAGCCTGGCAGACCCGCTCCTGCGCAAGCCCACGGGAAGCCCCTGTGGTCCCAGCAGCTGTCGCCTGGCTCTCCCAGAAGAGGCCCCATGGGTGTGGGGTGGGCTCCTCGCAGGTGCCAGGCACCTGAGTGCAGGGGACTTCCCCAGCACAATAGCCCTGACATCCTGGGGGAGGGTAGTAGGGGGAGTGAGAGGGAGCTGGGCAGACATCCTGCATTCTCACCACACCTTCATCCCCCCCCCCCCCCCCCCCCCCCAGGCACCACAGAGGTTGGTCACTGCCACCCATCTCCAGCCCCTTATCCCAGCCTGGGGCTCTGCCCTGCTATGATCAGGGTCTAACCCTAACTTCCCCTCTTTATAGCGCAGCCTTGCTGACTCCCGCCATGTTCTGCACTGCCCTCTGGTGATCAGCACATGTCATAGTGAGCAGTTGAACTTCTGTTAGAACTCCCAGTCCAGGGGACAATTTGCATATTAAGCTTTTATTATATAGGATTCTGAAAAATAAGAATTGTATTTTCAAACTAAAGAGAATTCACCTTATGTCTCAAGACAGTAATACCTTTTTTTTTTAGAATAAAGGGAAAAGGTTTTCTTGAGATGCAGACTGGGAACTGGTCTGCCCTCAAAGCGATAATTTACAGAGCAGTTAGCTGCAGCTGCCAAGGAAACTTCTCCCATCAACAGAAATGTAATTTGAAACATGAGTTCATAGACAGGAAAACGGATATAACGAAAAATATTTCTTAACAGTGGAACATTATATCTAGGTGATATCGTCTGATCTAAGTTTATTTTCTTCTTAGCTTTAGCTTTGATATATATTACAGAATCCTAATTCAGGGAGGAATACTACCTATAAACCTAAAAGAAAATAGTCTAGTGTGTATCTGCACACATTTCCCCTTCTCTTGTTCACTATCTTGATTTTTGCTGTCTTGGCCACATGTCTCTCATGCAGGACTTGGCTTTTATGAGACACTAACTCCACTTCTAGCCATAACTAATCTGGATAATTGCACTCCATGACCACAGTTTAGGACTTAACATGTGACCCATTTTAAGATGTTGGATTAGAGAAGATTTTTTTTTTCTTGAAGTTTCTGGGAAAGAAGTTATTTCTTTCCTTCTGAATGTATAATGCAACACACCGTATAAAAGGCAGCCTTGTAGAGGAACTGACACCATAAGAGACAGACAGGATGAACTGGAAGAAACATGTCCTTGACAACATCACTGAGCCCTTGAATCAAATCAATTCTGAAGCCTGAACTACAGCTGGACTTCCCCATTAAATAAACCAATAAATCCCCTTCGTTGCTTAAACCAGTTTTGGTGTTTGTTGTTTGTAATATAAGTTAGGATCTGTGTTATAAATAATGGAAAACCCAATTCAAATTGGTTTAGTATCTTTAGAATACAGAAGAAAGTGTTACGACTGGTGTGCAGAGTTTCCAGTGAACAGGAAGTGTTACACGTTCCAGTGTCCCAAGGATTTCACATTCTCTACTAAAATTTTATTTTAATATTTCAAGTTTTAAATATTACAAAACATATAGATGTGAACCATAGCAACTTTTTTTTTTTTTTTTTTTTTTAACTATGGTAAGAAATATCCTTTGAGGAGCCTTGACTATCTTTGTCATCAACTAAGCTACTTCTTTGAACCACTATTGGCTTAGAACTAACTGCTCTACCCTGAATTAAAAAAAAAAAAAAAAGTTGTAACCTAATCAGTTGGGCTCAGTGGATAGAATGTGGGGCCTGTGGACCAAAACGTCTGAGGTTCGATTCCAGTGAAGGGCATGTCACTCCATTGGAGGCTCCTCCCTGGTCTGGGCCCTGCTGGGG